AATTAGTAGGGCTTTTATAGTATTCCCAGTCGCTGTCAATTTAACACAAAATGATGTAAAATTACCTAGCATAGCCCTTTAGTGATACCACTGAGAATATTAGATCAATGGGAAAGAAAATTCTGCTTCAGAAGTTTGCATTCTTCTTCTCTGGTGTATTATGAGAACTCTACTTTTACTTTTTTTTTTTTTTTTTTAATTGATGACTTGTTGCCTTGCCTTTTTATCATTGAAGAAAATGAAACATAGACAAACATGTAACTCAAGTGCAGCTCTGAAACGGAATAAGGTAGCAACCTATTATTAAATGTAGAGCAGACTAAACACTTTTTAAAAGAAGAATCAGGTTTCAGGCTTTAGCTTTGTGCTTGTCATTTAGACTTTGGAATAATCAGACTTGCTGGGGCTGAAGCACTTGACGCTAGGCAGACTAGGGACTGATTAGAAAAGTTAGTGAGTTTTTTTTTTTCCCCCTCTAATAGCTGTAGCCACATACGTGTTGTCCTTCCCAGATGTAGCGGGGTGCAGGATTTCCTGTTGAGTAGCAGGTGGGTGAATTTCTAAATCATCACGTCAAGCTTGTGGCACTCTTTCGGGTAGATACACAAGTGGGGTCTCTGCATGGCAGGAATCCTTTACCTAGCTATTTACAGAGGCAGCAGTCTGTAAAAAGGTGCTCCTTTTTTGAGGTATAGACGCACTATTCCAGGAAGGGAGCCAGATATTGAAATATGACATTTGCAAGGGATTTTTAAAAAAATCCCTTTTGCTGCCAGTCTTGTCTGAGCGGTAAAAGAATCCTGAGGACATATAAGACAGGTAAAAGTGGCTAAGCTGCCTTACTTGCACGGGTCCCAGCTGTCTGGGTGTCCTGAGAAGCAGCTGTGCTCTTTGCAAACTCCCCGAGAGAAAGCAGCCCCAGGTTTTTTTGCAGGGCCAATTCGGATTTGCGAAGGTAATAGCAGCAAAGTACTTTCAACTCAAGTAAAGCCCAAACTCAAAAGTTATAAACTTTGAGTTTAGCTTGAGATTTGGGGTTCTTTGTTTCTCGCATTCAGATGGTCCTCACGCAAGTGGAAATACTGAAAGAAAGGTGAGCAGAAGTCCTCCAATGAATATCTGGGCTCTGAGTTCCCACTGCAGCCAGTTCCTGTAAGTCCTTGGATGGGGCCTGTTACTACTGAACACACCTTAGATATTATCCACCAGTGTAGCACCAGCCCCTGTTACTCACCATACAGAAATGGCTGTGGCTGTGGCTGGTCCTTGCCCTTGGTTCTAAAGAAGGTGAGGTTTATCAGAATTTTAATTTATGGCCATGGATATTACTCACCTACTTCAGGTCTAATTTCAGCTGGAATATTTATTTGACAAAGCATCCGTGTGGCTGAGAAACTGACTCTTTTATTTAAGCTGCTGATAGATTTAACTGTCCCCTTTTTGAAGATTGGCTCATTTCCTGGCTTACTTGGAACTGGTACCATGTGGGATCAAAGACAGCTAGAGACCTTATATTAATTCTATAAATGTTAAAATAAAAGTTAAGCTCCATTTTCTGGTTCCTGTTGTAACTGGAAAGAATAGCTCATTCACAAGAAGAAAATGAATTAAAAATTAAGAACAGTGTGCCTTATCTCTTCCAAATGTGGGTATAGATATGTTTTGCTTTCCCCTTGTTATATCATACAGCAAAGAAAGTTGCATTTAGTAACAACGCTGTGGCCTCCATCTGGGTCTTCTGCTCTAGGAATAGGAGGGAACCAACTCTCTTTAGGGCCCATGGCTCCTGTTGCTTCAGGGATAATTTTGCTGAGAGAAGACAGAAGACATTTCTCAACTTCCCTGGGGCTTGACCACCAAATGCCAGTCTGAATTCAATCTGATGGCCCATCTCATGAACTCATCTCAGAGTTCAGGAGTCCTATGGACCCCACTAGGATGACTGTTCTCTCTACCTGGAATCATGGCCCTCAACCTGTAAATCTCCAATAGAGAAATATAGAGGAACAGAAGAAAAATTAAAACCCAGCAAACTAAATCCTTACTGATGACCAATGGTCTAATATGGCAGTTCTGTCCTGGGTTGTTTTCTCAGGTTTTTTACTCACAAAATGACCTGTGAGATAGTAGAAGGTCTGTAGGATTGTAACATGCTTCTATTATAGGGGGGATACAAATGATTCCAAGATATTTTAAAAGAGCCAGGGAGGGTTAGGATTGTCAATTACTGATACAGTTACGTGACTCAGTTTCTGAATGGGGCCTGGGGAGAGTTTTAGTTTCCTTCTAAGTAAAGAGGGTAAAAAGATTTCTTACCAAATGTGGTTGGTATGAAAATTAATGAGATGATGAATCATACACAACTCTTAGCATTGTGCCTGACGTGGAATAAGCACCCAATCGATGGAAGACTATGTACACACACACACACACACACACACACACAAATGCACACATATCCCTTTATTTCCACTCTCAGGTCTTGTCTGTTTACACATGCTGTTCAGGAAACTTTTTTTTATCTCTCCATCTGGCCTTTACCTCTGGCCTAATTTCTAGTGTCTAACCAGCTGTTCCAGATGTTCCCATTAAGCTGTCCTTTATTCGGTCATGTTTCTTTGACCTACCGTGATTTTTAAAAAAATTTAATATTATTTTTTCAGTGTTCCAAGATTCGTTGTTTGTGCACCACACCCAGTGCTCCATGCAATACGTGCCCTCCTTAATACCCACCAGCAGGCTCACCTAGCCGCCCACGCCCCTCCCCTTGACCTACATACAGTGATTTTTGAAGAGAACCCATCACGGTGGTGATTTTAGGATTCATAGAACCATGTAACTTTAGAATTTTATTTGAAAGATGAGGAATATGAGGTCCAGAGAAAGTAGGTAATTTTCCCCAAATCATGCAGTTTTCAGGTCTAGATTTCTGGGTTGTCAGCATGGTCTTTTCCTTCAGACCCAGAGGAGAGTCTGGGCAAAGCACAGGATTTAGATTGAGAAGGGGTTATGTCTGAAGGTGAAAGAGGACTTAACAGTGATAAAATGTTTATGAATTGTGACCTTGTGCAAGGTACTTATCTCTCCATTTCTAAAATAATATGTGCCTACTTACCTCATCAGATTTTGTGAGATCTAGACTCTAGACAGGCTGGGTGAAAATATTTGTAAACTACAAAATGCTTGTAAATACTAATTTTATCTTTTATAAGCACATAACACACTATATATACGCATATGTGTATAAATATATATGTATTATATGTATATTGGGGCATAGCTATATATGTGTGAATCTTAATAAATTAATGTGCTAAAAAACCTTTTTCAATCAAACCCAACTTTTGCATGGCTTTTATCTGTAATGTCTGATTTATGACCATCTGTGGTAGGCTCTCTGTATATTGAGGAAGAGAGCTCAGTATCTTGGAGTTCGGGCTAAGAATGGGAAAGAATGCAGAAGGGGATTTTTGCTGCTTTGAAATTCAAGTCAACCAGCTAGGTGCTTAACAGGTAGAAAAGCCATAGGGAATCAGAAGACCTTACGTTAGAAGGGCTGACTATATGAGCTATCAAACTATTTTGAGCTTCATGAATATTAAGCTATTTCTTTGAATCTCAATGGATAATTTACTGGGATTAACTGCTCTCTGTATGAATTAGGAAAGTAAATACGATTCTAGTTCTTCGTCATACAAGAATGTATAAAGAGCATGCAGAAATGGCACATTCGTTTCAACTAAAGGACACTCTTCAGTTGTCTTGTAGTGGTGTGTTCAAGAATTATGAAGAAAGAGATTTGGGGACTGAGTATGGCTCTAGGTGGACAAGTGCCATCATCGGTCTCACTGTGTGTGCTGTTGCCTTAAGTGGGAATAATACATGTGCATATTGGAAATGGTACCAGGGCTTTGGTTATAATCCTGGTGTCATCACATCTACCTGGGAGACCTTGAATGAGACCCTGAATCACACAGGACTTCCATTTTCCTCATTTGCAAAATGATTGGCATGGCCATCTGCTGTTTCTGAGACAAGGACAGCATACAGTGTTATTCAGGAGAGATAACCGTCCTTAGTGATTACAAAGGTGTAATTCTATCCCATTTACCTGACAGTGTCTTGTGAGATCTAGATTATGGAGAACATGTTTGAAACCATTGTGTAAACTGCAATATTTATGTGGCAAAGGCCACATAAATATTAAGTCACCCCCCCTGGGGTTAATAATACATTATATGTTTATAAAAAAAAACATTAAGCCACCAATAGCAGCTTCAGATCCTCCACTTTCCTAAGTAGTAGGCTGGCTAGACAGTCAAGAATATGAAAGAAATTCTATTCCTTTTAAAGAGTTTTCTCAGAACATTCCTTTGGCTATAGCAAAGGAAAATAAAATTAATAATTACATTTTTAATGGATGAAAGCTGAATGTGTTTGACTTGGAAACATTCATCATCCTCTGTGACTTTCAAAATGAGAGAGAGAATTGCTGTATTTTCCTTTTTCATTAAGAGAAAGGAATTAATGTGCTTGTTTGTTTCTTTTTGTTTTGATATAAACATTTACAAAACCTTTTTTTTTTTAAACTCCCAGCCCCCTGCAATCAAGCTTAACATTGGCCCAGCAGATTTTTTTGGCCTGATTTTCGCTAAATCATGTTTTTTCTCATTTTTGGAAAAAAAAAAGTCATTCCACACATTGCGACATGTGTTCAAGTGATAGGAACCCCAGAAAGTTGATGGTGGGCTCTCTGGCAATTGTCTGTCAGTTTGGAAAACCCTCACATATGCAGCTTGCTACACGTTGTAGTCCTCCTATGAGATTTGTGGTTTTATTTTCTTCCATATTGTCATCTTATTTAAAAGGGTGGAAGATTAAGGATGACGAGTTGGCATCTTAATTAAGGTGAGGGGAGGAGATTTGTCAATTGAGCTCATGCTTGCTCCTGGCTTTTGAGGAAAAGAACCCATGTATGATCACTCGATCTCTGTTTTCAGATCAGACTCCGACTCCAACGAGATTCCTGAAGAACTGCGAGGAAGTGGGGCTCTTCAATGAGCTGGACTGCTCCCTAGAACATGAGTTCAGGAAGGCTCAGGAGGAGGAGAGCAGCAAGCGGGTAGGTTGGCTTGAATGGACACCTTGTAAGGTGCCTCCCCTAATCCCTGTGAGAATCTTCTGTGTGGAAACTTCGAGAGCACTGCAGATTGGTGTGAATGTCGCCCTAAAATAGTATTTTATCCATTTGCATGTATTTGTCTATTTTTTTTTTTTTTAAGATGAATCCCTGATTCTCCATCATGGGAGAAACAGACATCTGAAATAGGAAATTCAAGCAAAAAAAAAAAAAAAATTACCTGATTCTTGAACCTTGAGTTGGATAAACACACAGACTCTTTGTATTCAAAACTAGTTGTTTTACTTTGCTAAATATTTTGTAGGAAGCCTTACATGGGTGTTACACACAGAAGACAAGAGGCAAAGAATAATTGTAGCAGTAAGAGATGAGGTTTTGTCTGATTTTTAGTCCCAGGTTTTCACTGTCCGATTTCCATAATCTTCCCGGTAGACCTTTGCCACTTTCAGTTATGTCCCAGTCATATTATTGAACGTCTGTTATTATTGGGACAAATGGTTTAAATATACGTGTGGATTATTTGTTCTTTCAAATGTAGAAAACCCACTTTATGCATGCCTCCAGAATATATTCAATTTCTCTTAATGTTGTGCTTGCATTTTAAAATCACTTTGCAAGATTAAGGAAAGGAAACAGGGTCACAGGTAAATGTGATAATGAAGCTCTTTAGCATTTTTTCCATTGTTACCGTAGAGCATTACTGAATGCCCACAATGTACCAAAGAGCAAATTAGACACATTCCATGAACAGAGACTTAAAATGCGGAAGTGGGTTGAAAGGAAGGGCTGGTTAGGTTGTAATGGACTCTGAAAGTCCAGCTGTTCCATCCGGAGAAGATATTTTAAAAGGTTCTGATATTTTAAAACCTTCTAATTCTCCTCTACGTGAAATTATAATCCCCTTCCACCAGATTTTTTATGTCGCATTCCCACATTAAAACAGTCAAGGGCTTGCCCTGAGTCTGGGCTGCTTTCGGAAAAATCATGATAATTGGTGGAGGATACAAGAGAGGTATAAAACCTCAATCAGCTCATTTTATTTATGTATAATTAATTTATACAGCCACTTCCCGCACTCCTCAAGTGACATGAAAGGCTTTCCCCTCACCTTTTTAAATGAATACTTTTTTAGCACTTACTTGCCAGGCACTGTTCTGAGCACTTAAAAATTTAACTTAAAAAAAAAAAAAGGAGGGGTACCTGGGTGGCTCAGTGGGTTAAAGCCTCAGCCTTCAGTTCAGGCCATGATCCCAGGGTCCTGGAATCAAGCCCCGCATCAGGCTCTCTACTCAGCAGGGAGCCTGCTTCCCTTCCTCTCTCTCTGCCTGACTCTCTGCCTACTTGTGATCTCTTGTCTGTCAAATAAATAAATAAATAATCTTAAAAAAAAAAAGGCATACATTCTACATTTCACTGCAATAGAAACGTATTTTTTAAAAATGAAAATTACAAAGACTAAGAAGAACCAAAATGTCTAGTAAATTTTCTCTGTTTGAGTTCTACATTTAGTTCTGGTAGATGTGGTGTATGAAGAAAAAATGAGGGATTAAGTACGTTCATTCCCTCAAGATAGTCAAGGTTGGCTTCATAGATTAAACTGAACTGCAGGGAAGGTATATGCTCGTTTCTACTGGTTTTTATTGTCTTCATTTCTGAGAGAATGGTTTTAACTGAAGTGTGTGTCCTTGATATTCCTACATTTACCAAGGACAGCTTTAGGAAGCCCACGGTAGGGGCGTGGTTTTAGATGTTGTCCTTTACGTAGTACTCATGATCTCCTATATGAAGCCCCATGGGAGGAAATTCTTGCAGATCTGAATTCCAGGAAATCGTTTACTTCCCCTAAGGAACTGAAATGTTTTCTCTGTGTGGACATGAGAATCATGTAACTGGTTCTGTTTCTCTTTTCGCTTTGACTGCTCGGTTAACAGAAAGCTGAATTTACTGCTTAACTTTGAGAACTTTTTAGAACATTGTGATGAACATATTTTACTTCCCTTCAGACTAGACTTTCAGTTCTTGTTTATTATTTCCTTTGGTCCTGATTTTTTTAATTTAAAAAACATTTTTATGCTATACATTTTTTTATTTTCTGAATTGCTTTTGAGTCCTTGTGGGTTGAGAAAGAGTATAAATAAACTTTATAAATTAAAATAACCAGGCAAGCAACATAGAGAAAAAAGACAATTACAGTTGTAGAAATACATATTTTAAATACGTATGAAAAATATTCTTTAAAAAGTATCTTTTGAAAGTTGCTTTTATTTTTTAATTTAAATTTTAGTTAACATACAGGGCAACATTGGTTTATGAAGTATAATTCAGTGATTTATAACTTACATACAACACCCAGTGCTCACTACAAGTGCCCTTCTTAATGCCCATCACCCACCTGGCTCATCCCCCATCCACCTCCCTCCATCAACCCTCAGTTTGTTCTCCATCCACCCTCAGTTTGTTCTCCATCCTTAAGAGTCTCTTACAGTTTGTTTTCCTCTCTCCCTTTCTTCTTTTCCCCCTTTCCATGAGTTCTCTCTTTTCTTTCTAAAATTCCACATATGAGAGATCATACGGTATTTGTCTTTCTATGATTTATTTCACTTAGCATAATATACTCTAGCTCCATCCATGTCATTGCAAATGGCAAGATTTCATTCTTTTTGATGGCTGAGTGATACACACACACACACACACACATGCACACACACATGCACACACACATATACCACATCATCTTTATTCATTCATTCGTCGCTAGACATTTGGGGTCTCTCCATAGTTTGGCTGTTGTTGATAATGCTGCTATAAACATGAAGGAGCATCTGCATCCTTTGAATCTGCATTTTTGTATCCTTTGGGTAAATACCTAGTAGCACAATTGCTGGATCATAGGGTAGTTCTATTTTTAAGTTTTAGGAACCTCCATTTTGTTCTCCAGACTGGCTATACCAGTTTGCATTCCCATCAACAGTGCAAGAGGGTTCCCCTTTCTCCGCATCCTCGCCAACACATTGTTTCTTGTGTTGTTAATTTTAGCCTGAATGTTGCTTTTAACCATATGCTGGTTTTGTGACGCGTATTCGGATGGGGAATTCTATAGCCAGCTTCCCTCTTGGTTTTTGGGTTGGGTGTCTCACGAGATCACCTTCTCAAAACCCAGCTTTACTTTTACACACTGAAAACTGGACAGCATTGAGGCTGTTGAGGTATCCTCTTCCCTCACATCTTTTAAACCAGCAGCCAAATCAGCCTTTGGTGGCCGTAACTTCTCGACACCTAATGCACAATGACTTATCCACAATGGGCTCTGTTGGTGGCTTCTGCCTAGCATTTCTTTGGAAGCCACAAATGGGTAAAGGAAAGTTGGGAGATACTCCCCAATCTACCATCATACTTTTATCTAAACTTTTGACCACATTTCTCTAACTACCAACATCCCTGGCACACTGCCACCCCCTGCTCCTGCTTCATTTAGTCATCTTCTACTTGAAAAGTAGGAATAAAAGCTCTCTACTCAATGCATACCTTATTATTACTGAATGCTGTCTCCTTCCTCCCTTCCTTTTGCTCTGCATTCAGATAATTATTTCTTTTTAATTCTCCATCTCCAACTTTCTTCTAATTTCTTTTCCTCTGAGTCTAATTATTTTATTTAAAAAATTGTGGAAAAATTGTGCTAGTCCTTCCCTCCACCTTTAACTTTCTAGCTGCAGCTTGGTCTAGAAAATTCTATTGATCCTCACTTAGCCCTCTTGGCTGTCGATTGGGGAAAATTCTGTGGACGATCTCTAATCCTGATACCCCCAGCTCCTGCTTCATTTATTCATCCCCTGCTTGAAAAGTGGGAATACAAGCTCTTTATTCAGTATATCCCAATGTATGTATAGAATGAGGACAGGCTAGATGCTAGTCATGACAATGGAAAAAGCCTTAATATCTGTATCTATATTACATATAGAAGGCAACACATTCCACAGTTACCTCAATCTTCCACAGAAGTATAATAAGCTCATGGTTTCAAAACTCTTTAATAAGAGATTTTTTTTTCCCTTGGAAATGCACCCATCACTAACAAGCATCACAAATTTCAGTTTGTCTATGACTTAGAAGTCAGGCTAGTCCACATCCTGAAATAGGTGAGAAACTTGTGGTCCTCATTTATTCATTCAGTAAATATTTCTGAGTGCTCATCACATGCCAGGCACTGTCCGAGCCATTGAAGAATACATTGTGGACTAAAGCTCGTTAAAAACAAAACCTTGCCTTCAGGTAGGTTACGTCTCGTGGCAAGACAAACAATAAGCAAGCAAAAACTGTAAGATGAATAACATGTCAGAAGGTGATGCGTGTTCTAGCAGGGAAGGGGCAGAGGCAGTGCTGGGGATGCTCAGGGAGGCCGCTGGCGCTAAGTGGACAGGCAGCCGAGGCCGGAAGCAGGAGAGCCGAGCTCTGCGTCAGAGCAGGTGTGTGTCGGGGAGAAGAGTGTTCTAAGTGCAGAGAGTAATAAATGCCAAGCCCTAAAGCTAGAGGATGCTCTGTGGGTCCGAGGAATCACAATGGGGGGTATGTAATAACGCGGAAGAGTGGGCACGGAAGGGCAGAGTCCGGAAGTGAGATGGGGAACCAGAAACAGTTTCAAGCAAAGGAGTGATAGAATCTGACTTATATATTAGAAAATTCACTTTGGCTGCTGAGTTGAAAGTCAGTTGTTGGGGGACAGTAGCAGAGAGAGAGAGAGAGAGAGAGAGAGAGAGACCAGTTCCAGAGGCTGATGGAGGAATCTAGATTGAAGATGATGGCAGACTGGTCCAAGGTGGACATGGAGGAGGGGGTGGTTGTTGCAGTCTGGGTCTGTTCTGAAGATAGAGCCAGAAGGATTTGCTGATGAATTAGATCTGGGGAGTGATAGAAAGGATGATATCAGGAGTGGCCCAGGTGTTTGGCCTAAACAACCAGAAGGATGGAGCTGCCCGTGGGAGGAG